GAAATTATACAATCTAATTTAGATTAAAAACTGCTCATGCTGCATATATGCAGCATCTTTGTTTGGGTCGCGATTCAAATGCAGTGGTTGCCTCTAATTTTAAATGGAAAGAGCACAGACAAAGCCTCAATTTGTTTATATGAAGAGATTTATTTGATTTGTGTTATTTATTTATTTGATTTGGGGTTTGTTTTAAAATGTCAAATTAGTTTTGTTGTTTGTCATATTTCAAATTCACAAAGAAATGTGCAGCATTTTGTCTAAGCAATAATAAAAAGACACCTTTTCATTTATAATTTGTCTTAAATCTCATTTCGTTAAAAAAATCGTATCGTGAAATCAGTATTGTGAATCATATTGCATCGTGACTTGAGTGAATCGTTACATCCCAATTTAATGATTATTCAGCAATTTTATGTCTATCATGTGCTGTACTATATACATTGGCATTATATTGGTCATTTATCACTTTCTAGACATTAGCACTTCAAACAAAAAACCTGTATTAGTCAACTTCTACATTTTTGTTCATTGTGAGAAGTTTGCTATCTGGGAGTTTAATAATGAGAATGAATGATGGAATATACAGTATACACTACAGTCAAAAAGTTTTTGAAAGAAATGGATGCTTTTTATTCAGCAAGGATGCATTAAAATGATCAAAAGTAACAGTAAAGGCAAAGATCATGTGACACTGAAGACTGGAGTAATGATGCTGAAAATTCAGCTTTGATCACAGCAATCAAACATTTTACCATATATATTACAATAGAAAACTGTTATTTTAAATTGTAATAATATTTCACAATATTGCTGTTTTTACTGTATTTTTAATCAGATAAATGCAGCCTTGGTTAGCAGAAGAGACTTCTTTCAAAAACATTAAAAAAATCTTACCAACCCCAAACTTTTGAATGCTAGTGTATCTGTGTCCAAAATGTGTTCTGGGCATCTAATAGACAATTATGTCCCATTATATTTGGTCAGTTACTCACTCTTTTCTTATAGTAAATCCTCCATTTGTGATATTCCTTTATCACCACCTCTATCCGTCTCTTCCAGTAGCTTCCCTCCAAAACAATGGCCTGTAAATGCCATAAATAAACACATTAAACACAGCAGGTGATGCCTTACATGTGTCAAACATCAAAATCTTCTCTTGTAAATTAAAACTCATTTATTGATTCAAATAGTGTCATTATTTCTGGTCCGTCTTTGAGGTGGGACTCACCTCAGGTTTGCCGTGAGCATCCGCCTCCGAACCCTCCAGCGGCGTGACAAACCCACACACGGGGTTCTTCCTTTTCTCCACATCTTAAGACATTTAACATCACATTTCATTTTTGTAGATCATTTTGCATTTCTGTGATTATTGGTCCAGTGGTAGGAAAGACCAACAAGCATCAAGGTACCATCACAGTACTTTTTTGTAAGGGCTGGGACTAACGTAGACCAAGTTGTCCAATATTATCCAAAATGTGTCAAGTGAAATGTATTTGTATAACGCTTTTCACAATACACATTGTTTTGAAGCAGCTCTTCAGAAAATCATGATGTTAAAGTTTATAATATAGTTGCATCTAGCAGATTAGAGCTATAGGTGAGTCTATGTAAGGGATAATGCACGGTCAGCTGTGCATTAAACAATTTTAATGCATGACGTGGAGGCAAAGAACCGCTGAGTGCATTAAAATCGTTAATGCAATGTTAGCCGTGCATCATCATTATCATGGTCATTTGCCAGCAGTGACAAGTTAATGATGTTTGCAGCACAATATTTGACTGGAAGGGTAAAAATGCCAGTTATTTTCGTCAGTTACGGCTCATTAGCTCTAGCATTCTGTCAGCTTTAAATCAGAAAAATCAAGAAGTGCGGTAAGATCAGAATTAATGAATTATAACATTTCCTTGAATTAATTATCGATCGAGAGAGATGACAGTTGCATGTGAGAATTACTTGCGTCTGCGTGTCTCTCTCTACAAACAATGAAGCTGAGAGTTTAGTTACTTCAAAAACAGCGCATTGTATCTGCTCGTTGCTGAGAAACATAACGTAGCAATTTAATATCGAAGCTATTTTAATAATAAAAGGCGCCGGGCAGCTTTGACAAGTTTCTGTGCTCCTGAATGTTTCTGTGTGTGCACAGTGAGATCTCTGATTTCTCTTGTTCTGTGTGCGTCAATAAAAGCAGCGCATTAATATAGAACGGTGCTTAAACTGACTTGGAACTACTTGTGCATTAAACGGTTTTAATGCATACCTGCCAGCCAATCAGAACCGAGTATTCAAACAGACCATGGTATAAATGCAGATAAAGTTGGACATACTTATCTATCTTATCTATATAAAGAGCTGTGCGATAATATAGTTGCATTTTGTGAAAAAAAAATCCCTCAGTTGAGATTTGCTATATAGTACAAATTGCTTTATGTGAGTGTACTGTATGCATGCGAATAAAGTTGGATGCAATATGTATCCAACTGTATGTACTGTATAGAGCAGTACAGTTTACATTTTGCGATAATATAAATAAGCATGCAGCCAAGATTTGCTATATAGTGAACACATACCGTATGTGAACACATACTTGTCATTCATGAGGAATGTTTTACTAAACAAGTTCAGAGAAACACTTTCACATGAGAAAAGAAGAAAACTGTGTGTAACAGACTAGAAATGAGATCAGGAGACTCACACTGAATGAACCAGGCCCTCCAAATGCCGTTATTCAGCCGGATTTTATCCCTCCACAGCAACCTCAAACCTTTGAAAGACTTCCACTTTGGAGACACAATCTTCCCACTGAGGAGAAACACAAATCAGTTCAATCAACATTAGATGTCATTTTATTCGCATAGTAAATATAAACAACATAAATGAACTGAAATGTGCAGTAATCTACTTTGTTTGAGACTAAGACATGGTGATATTGCAGGACAATGGCGAAATCTTTCCTTTTCACCCTGCTGGCTCTGTATAAACATGCTTTTCTCCATCCAGCAGGCATTTTTTAACTGTGTTTGCAGTCAAAATAATTTCATCAGTCTAATGCAGCGACACAGCTGCCCATCTGCACATATTCTGACAGCACTTTACACCATTTACTGTTGGCTCTAGTGCACTTAACCTCTAAAAATAAGAGACAAGTTAACTAAGAGTGCTGTGTTCACTCTGTTGCTAAGAGTCCGGTGAGAATGATTGCTTAAATGTGGGATATGGCTTGGAATGACAGCAAACCCTGACAAGTAAACAACACCAATTGGACGTCATCAGGCTGAAAAAATAAAATAAAATGTCTGTTCCTCCATCCTGTATACGCCACTGCTAGGATACAGGTCCAGTGCAGGTCTGAAGTAAAACAACAAGTGGATGACAGCGGTAAAATATTTACTTCCAAAACATTGTCGGCCGAACACCTTTGACCTAAAATTCTTATTGTAAGTCCCTCTGAGGTTTTAAGTTAATATTTGAATGATTTAATAACACTTTAGCATTTCTATCATGCTGGTTAATTGTCACAGATGAACAATTTTTTTAAATCTTTTTTTTTAGTTAAGTGTTTTATTATAATTTAGATTTTACATTTTTTATGATTAAATTAATTTAATTAAACTACCTACAGTTTCTTTACAAACCCCCCAAAAGTATTACAAATATTGCGTATAAATGTGTCTTAGCAGTGTGTGGATACAACCACCCTACAATGATAAAAATCCATTCACTCCTCTTTTTTGAATCCCCGAAAAACCTTTTCTCAAATGTTCAAGACTATATTTTGTTGACAAGCAAATTCTCAATTGTCAAGCGTTTTGATTTTCTGAGCTGCATGACGTCATACTGCTCAAGCCCTGCCCACGACCGCTGGCGGACTGCCCCGCATTAGCATATTTCCGCCGTTTTCTCCACGCTCCAGCAACTGTTGTGAGTAGCGACAACAATGTCTCGTAAGCAATGCAGGTCTCTTGTACTTGGATGGAAAAGTGAACATAAGAGCCTTCATTTCCTCCCGACATCAGAGCCACTGAGGACGCAGTAGATTAGTTTTTTGTTTTTGTTTTGATGGTAAAGCAGAGCTGTTTTTGACAAGGTATAAAGGGTGTTGTTTTACACGACCATTGAGGAATTTTAACCAAAGTATGTTACAGACATTTCATGAAGACCCTAAAGAATCATACCAACTTGTGGAAAATGGGCATCATATGCCCCCTTTAACAATATTTTAAATTTATATTTCAGTAATTTAACAACACATTCACATGTTCATCGGTTTATAATGCTGGTTAATGGTCACCTAAGATGAAGAGGAATAAATAAAATTGAATCTTTTTTTGGTTAGTGTTTCTATTTATTAATTTACATTTTGCATTTTAATAATTTAATTAATCTAAGTTTAGGAAAACATGCTTTATATAAAATATATTTTAAGTTACTGTAAAGCTGATTGATTTAAGGCTATCTATTGCAATAAAGTACTATATAAATAAACGTGACGTGACTGGACTTTACTGGAGTACCGAACTGCAGAGCTCGTGCAAACATCTACATCGCTGTAATCAGATGCTTTCTTAACTGCTGCTTTCACACCGCGGTCAGTTTTTGTTGTGTTTATTTCATTATTGAGAGGAAAGCGCGCAGCATATATTTACAAATTCATCCAAACGCCGCTCAGCAGCTTCAGGTTCGGCTGCGTTTGCTCTGAAGCGCTGTGTCTTCTTCTCTTGAACTGCATCCAGGAGGGCTGAATTACAGTATTGCGCTACAGCACCACACTGGTCACACCGCATTATTGCAGGCTCTTACATTAGGTCAAATGAGATCAAACGACTACTCGACAACAAAAATATTTGTCGACAATTTTTTATTGTCGACGTTGTCGATAATGTCGACTAATCATTTCAGCCCTAGAGAACAATAAACAGACTTTACTAGAGCTTTTACAATTTCTGAAGAAAATGTGAGAGGTGCATGTGCAAAACTCTAGGCTGGTTGCATTGTTCAATATTTAGGGTTAAAGGTTTGTTTAAATATAATCAATATAGTGATGCTTACCATAACAACTACCACTAATGATACCAGAGAACATTCAATAGTGCTTTTATGGCACGATATCTGTATCTCACTGTCCAATAACAACAGTCATTATATGTGGTGATACGAGCAGATGTTTTTGATAGCCTTTCTATGCTGACATGATTCCTCGTCTCACTTGACGTCAGGTGATTTGTGTGCCATAAATTACTATTGCTGACTCACGGCCAAAGTCATACTGCAGTTGCATCACAATGTATTTTCAACAGCTAGTGCATAGCAGTTTCTCTAGGTCTTTTGACAAGGTTTGTCTCATTAGCATATGGAAATACCAAAGAATATTGAATGTTTAAGTAAATGCAACACTGCATAACCTTAAAGTCTTAAACTTTAAGTAATTACTGTAGTGTACGCTGGTTAACACCAGCATACCGATAAAAACACTGGACTCAAAGCTTTTAATGGCCCATTATACTTACAACCCAATAAACGTTTAAAGCAGGATTACCTAAATAAAGGTCTCAATATAGTAAATAAAACATTCAAGATATACTGGTCAGAAATGAGACAGCTAAAAAAACACAGTGCTGTCTGTCTGTGTGCAGCAATATTGTGGGTTAATAAAATGTGCATATGTTTTGGAGAAAGCGGTGTGGGTTCCTCTAGCCTTGTTATTCTGTAACTCTCACCTCGTTTGTCTTCCAACTCCTATCAAAGTCCACATGAGTTTTTTTTTTATTTTTAACTCAGTCAAGGATTTCACAGCTGTTTCGAAAGCAAGACTGAATTTAGTAGAGTCTCAGTCTCTCTCACACCCAATTTTTACTGCGGTGACATTTTATTAACTTGCATTAAAATTTTTTTTTGAACTCAGTCAAGGATTTCACAGCTGTTTCGAAAGCAAGACTGAATTTAGTAGAGTCTCAGTCTCTCTCACACCCAATTTTTACTGCGGTGACATTTTATTAACTTGTTGTATAATGTCAATGTTGTACAATTGTATAATGTATTTTAATGCTTAAAAGACTATAAGTAACTCATTTTCATTTTTAAAAAATCCTTATTTCTGAGTATTTAAATGTGTACATTTGTTCAAATGTATCTGTACTCTACCTGTTTTATATAACAATAAAACACTGCCATAAGGTGAAACTTCACTTAAAATATAAGTTATATGCACTGTTTAATTTATCTGTAACTTAATTTATACATTACAGTGAGGTAAACTGAAGTTAAACTGTAACTGTTTTATATCAGTGCACACTGTCATGAAGTGAATTCCACTTAAAATATGTTATATGTACTTTAACTGTTTCACAGTTATGTAAACATTTCAGTGAGGTATACGATGATCTGTAGTTTTTTTTACAGATTTTTAATACACTGCAGTGAGTTGAATTGTAAATTATCTGTAGTTTAATTCTTTTATATATACATTGCGATGAGGTAAATTTGACTTAAGTTGAACTGCAGTATTTTTTCTGTACTGATTTATGTTTATGTACAACTGAGGTAAAAAGTTAAATAGTAAATTATCTGTAGTTTAACGGTTTTATAACAATATAAAAACTAATGTGGTGAATTTTACGTTATATATACTTAATAGAGGTTAAGTAACATTTGAAGTGAAATTCACCTCATTACAGTAAGTATATTGTTATAAAACAATTAAACAACAAATACATTACAATCTAACTTTGATTTTACCTCACTGCATTGTGTAAATTACTGTAAATACAGATAAATTAAAAAAAGCTGAACTTATAACTCACTGAAAAAGTATACATTACTATGAAACTAATTAAATTACAGTGTACAATATTACAGTGAGGTGAATTTTTACAGTTATGTAAACATTGCATTGATTTTATAGCATTGTATATTTTGCAGTGAGGGAAAGTTACACAAGTTGCAGGCACTGATTGATTTAACACGTTTTGTAGTAATGTAATCACTAGCATGAGGTGAAATTGTACTTTATAGTGAAGCAGGTGTAAATTACTGTAAATACAGATAAATTAAAAAAAGCTGAACTTATAACTCACTGAAAAAGTATACATTACTATGAAACTAATTAAATTACAGTGTACAATATTACAGTGAGGTGAATTTTTACAGTTATGTAAACATTGCATTGATTTTATAGCATTGTATATTTTGCAGTGAGGCAAAGTTACACAAGTTGCAGGCACTGATTGATTTAACACGTTTTGTAGTAATGTAATCACTAGCATTTGGTGAAATTGTACTTTATAGTGAAGCAGACATTGCAGTAAGGTAAATTTGAGATGTACCTGTACGCCAGTGTCATGCATTCAAACAGGCGTGTGAGAGTGGGGTCAATGCTCAGGCGTCTGGAGCTCAGTGGACCGAAAATGTAGGTCTGGCAATCCGGTTTATTAACGGTGTCAAAATCATAATTATCAGAACTATAAAGAGCCGCGCTTCTCCTCCTGATTGAGTCACTGTGCGGCGAGGACACCATGAAGTGTCCGCTGTGGATCACCTGAGTCCGCCGGCATGACTCGAATCCCGCTCCGGCGTTCACACTGGGCAACTCCGGATCCGAATCAGACTCTGAATCCGGTCCGATCTGGCTGGGCTCTGCGGTTTCTGAGTACTCTGCCTTTGCCATCGGTGCTGATCTAGTCCTGTCACGCTGCTCAAATGCAGTCCACTGAGAAAAACGCCATATGAGGAAGCACGCTTCACTCTCTACTGCACTGCATACTTAGTACGCAGTGCTGCAGGTCAAAGATCAAGCGTGATAAAATGATCAAAACCCACTGATTAAAAAGCTGCGTTGAGCAGTTTCAGACTCTGACAGTCTGAACTCGCGCACAATTATGTAAAAGTTGATCTCTGTCCCAGGCACCAATTGATGTACAGTGTTGGGGGTAACTCATTACAAGTAACGCGAGTTACGTAATCAGATTACTTTTGTCAAGTAACTAGTAAAGTAACGCATTATTTTTTTTTATAACGCATTTCTTTCCATAAAAAGTAACTAAGTAACATAATTAGTTACTTTTTTAGGGAGTAATGCAATATTGTAATGCATTACTTTTAAAAGTAACTTTCCCCAACACTGGTGACATATTATTACTAGCTATTATTACTAGTAAGAGTCTATTTGATGAGTAAATGTGTCCTAGTGATTGTGATGTGGCTTCCTTGTTTTTGAATAAACATGCACTTGTTGTACATGTCTAGTAAAACGGATCTGTAAAATGTCATGTTTATTTAAAATACTTTATTCACAAATGTAAAGTTTTGAAAACAGCACCCCAGTTTAGTGTCTTTAAAAAAGAGCTAGCCGTGTATACGGCCATTGAATTATTTGATTGCTTTAATCAGTGTGATATTGTTTAAATCAGTTATGCTTTGTATATATGTATTTATAATTTTTTCTAAATAAAATATTTTTAATACGAACAAAAGGTAACGTTGTAGAACTAAGGTGGGATCATGTATCTTGGCTTATATTTATTTTATTTTCTATATTTATTTTAAAATGAATAGGCTATGTTTTATATTTGTTCACAAAGACAAAAATAACTGTCAAAAAATGCATACAAACAATCAGAATTTAAAAACAATCGTAACAATCTGAATAATAAAAAAAAACAACTAAATGAATGTACTTGAAATTTAAAAATAACTTATATTTAAATAAACCTAAACTATACAATAATAAAATAATATTAGTGTGACTAAATAACTTTTATAGACTCGCTCGGAGAGATTACGGACTACAAATCCCATGAGCGCTGAAACAACATCCGGTTATGTGTGACGTAAGCGGAAGGTTAAAAGCCGCTGATTGGCAACCAGTCGCCGGTTTTGTTTTCGTTTTTACGGGGCTTGAGTTCTGCTCGAAGTATTTTTTTTTTAGTTTAGTCGAACCATGGACGCGGTGCAGAGACACAGATCCATGTACAAAGGCACGACTCCACCATGGAAAGAAACATACCGGAAGGTAAGTGTCGTGTTTGCTGAGGAATCTCATGAAAGCTGTCAACAACAGCATAATAAATTAAAGAAATGTATTGTGTTTTGAATACAGGACGTTTTTTTATTTAGACGTTATTTTCAACCTATTTCCAGTAATGAAAATCATCCTGTTCCTCCTTTCGGCAATGATAATTAGTTGTTATTTCTTCCTTATGGCAATAAATGAATATATTTACGGGGCAAAACTCTCAAAACCTTGTCTAACCCAACCAAAACACTTCCCCAGACCACAAGGTACTGATATGGATACATTTGTGTTACTAAAGATACAATATTCGTAATAAAAATAATATGAAATATTATGTGGAATGTAAATATCATTGTGTATGGTTGCTCTAAGTTTATTTTAACTACTATATTTATTTTAAAATGTTTTCCATTCAAAGTGGTACAGGTTTTAGAAACAAGGAACTGCTCAGGATGAAATTATCACATCATTATAATCCATTTTTAATTGAACCGCGTGAACTATCAGCAGTGTGCCGTTGTTGAGACAAGCTTGGAGACACTAAAGTGATCAAATGACGGTGTGATGTTTGTCCCCAGCGCTGTGTGGAGCGGCTGAAGAACAGCCGGTCGAGGTTACTGGAGAAGTTCAGACAGATGGGAGAGGATTCGGGAGGATCCAAGCGCTCGCTGCTCGTGCAGGAGGTGATGGAGGAGGAATGGAGCGCCTTACAGTCGTCCAATCACAGTCTCCCCTCGCTCTGGAATGGAAAGGGCATCAGAGATGTGTGTATTTGTACCATTTTCTGACATGAGAACCCTCATGTCCCAAACCTTTTCATTTTCTATACGATGAAGGCAGACCGTGATCTGGGGCTTTTAAACTCCATTAAGGATATAACAGTATCAGAAAAGCATTACAAGGACAAAACAAACACTTCTCAACACCTTGCGTTAATATTCAGTGCCACTTCTTTTAGCGCCTCACCAACTCCACCATTTGAAAGATCACCAAACTATATTTATCGCTTAAAATGCAAGTTATCTGGCACGTTTTACCATTTCTTTCAGCCAACATCTCATATTTGGTGCACAAATACTTTTTCCAGTATAAATAAATAAGCCGTTTTGCTCGCAGGATACACATAATTATAAATATTGTAGGATATTTTGATTTAATTTCTATATATATCTTTATCAATTAATAGGTTTTATCACAAAGACAAAAATAGCTACCATAAATTGCATACAAAAAAAAAATCGAAATGTGAATAAAAATAAATGAAATTAATTTGTATTTTTTTAAAAAAATCTTGTTTATATTAACCATAAATAAATAAACAAATAATTAAATACAGACTAAAAAAAAAAAAATGAAATTAATTTGTATTAAAAAAAATCTTGCGTTTATATTAACCTAAAATAAATAAATAAACAAATAAATACAGACTAAAAAAAGAAATTAATTTGTATTTAAAAAATCTTGCGTTTATATTAACCTAAAATAAATAAATACAGATAAAAAAAAAATTATGAAATTAATTTGTTAAAAAAAAAATCTTGCGTTTATTAACCTTAAATAAATAAACAAATAAATACAGACTAAAAAAAATAAATGATATTAATTTGTATTAAAAAAATCTTGCGTTTATTTTAACCTAAAATAAATAAATAACCAAATAAATAGACAAAAAAAATAAATTAAATTAATTTGTATTAAAAAAATCTTGCGTTTATTTTAACCTAAAATAAATAAATAACCAAATAAATAGACAAAAAAAAAATGAAATTAATTTGTATTAAAAAAATCTTGCGTTTATATTAACCTAAAATAAATAAACAAACAAACAAATAAATAAATAGACTAAAAAAAAAAAGTAAAGGTGACAAAGGAATAATAAAATCAAGGATCTTTTCTATCTTTTTTTTTTCTTTCCTCCACATCTTTTCACAACTTTTTCATATTCCCATATGCAGTGATCTAGCATACCTGTAAACTCTGTGCATCTTAAGCAAGTGTCAGGGACATTTTCATGATTTTATGCAATACAGTTAGAGTTAATGTAAGTCCACATCAACCATTTATACTTCGTCATTTACTGAAAACCTTCCCCCTATATTTATTTAATATTTATCCAAATATTTAAACTTGACCAGTCATAATGCATCAGTTGATATAATTGAAACCGATTGTGAAGCCGCACGTTTGCGTACGTGGAAGCACAAAGAGATTTGAGACATAATGGTGAGTAAATGAAGACGGATCGTCATTTGCTGGATTATTTCTTGAAGCGTGTGTTTTCACTCCTCAGGTTTACTCCGCACAGCAGGAGCTTGACGAACTTTCAGCGTTTGAGGAAATTCAGCAGGAGCTCATAGCGCAAGGTTACATCAGCGTGTGCATTTCATTTCTCATTATATCAAGTCGTGAGTAACCTTGAAATGTGAGCAAACTGTGATGAAAATGCGCCGGTAAAATCTGGTTGGTTTCTCTCCTCCTTCAGAGCTGCTGATTCTGGAGGAGTATAACAGCAGCATGCGGTATGAAGAGCAGTATATAAACTCAGTGTTGGAGGCAATGGAGGCGTCTGGACGGATCATATGCCCCGTGTGTCACGCGTAAGTGTTCGCCGTAAGCCATCACATACTAAACCGGTCTTTCTTGATAATGTATATAATGGGTTACTCCGTATCTGCAGGAATAATCTGACAGTCACCAGTCATTTTACATCATGTCCATGTGGCCTTTACGTCAACACAATTGTAAGTAGTCTCACAGCACTTTCCTCCATTATAAGGACACTTGGTATAATAAATGCATTATTTGATTGGTCTGGATGGAGTAGAATATATATTCTAGAATATAGTGTAATTAAACACTATTAAACTATTAAGTTTGCATGTGAGCACTAGATGAACGGACTGGGAAATCTTGGATTATTATGTGGGAACCAGTGGTATTGTAGTATCTGTGAGAGATGCTGTTGTAGTCTCTCTTAATATTTTGATTTGGTTTTGTTTCTCTCCTCGCCTAGCGAGTCATAGGGGTCAAAGGTCACTGCTGTGTATTTATTAGGGCCCTATGAATCAGTTTTATCTTTTTTACTTTTTTTAACCGCACCGTTTACTTTTTTTTTTTTTATCAATCAGATTTAATAGATAAATTACTCAAAAAAAAACAAAACAAACAAAAAAACTGTCTAATTCATTGAATTGATGGAACCTATACAATTTAAGAACTTTTTATTAAAAGTTCAACAAAAAATCTAATTTTTAGGGCCCTATGAAATCTGTTTTTTTTCCCCCCAAATTCCATGTTTTCTGTTTTAATTCTTCTGGATTTCGTTTTGATTGCATTTCAATAATCAAAAAGCATGTCTAATCAATTGAATTCATAAAACTAGAACAATTTAATAATTTATTAACATTTTTACAGTTATAGGGCTTTATAATTGTTCTGGATTTATAATTGAATACAAATGTATTACCAAAAACGGTGGTTTTTAATCTTTTAAAATGTATTCAAATTAATATGTAACAATTTGAAAAATGTTTTTTTTTTTCTTTTAATTTAAAGTATTATGTAGTTGTTGTTTTTGTTTTTTTTTGTCTAGATACTAATTTTTAGTCACTATTTTATTGTAGTTTTAGCTATTTTAGCATCTTGAGTTAAACAATGAAAATGTGAATTGTTCCTTTGGCAACTAGATGAAAACAAAAACAAGTGTGTGTGTGTGTATATATATATATATATATACACACACACTTGTTTTGT